ATCACACCACATCTCTATACTTTTGTGCATTCAGAATCAGAGCCGACGACATTCCTGTTCTTTGTAAGTTACTTGGCCTCAAGCATGTTGTTATAGCGACTGGAAATAACCCAAGACAGTACCAATAAGAAAACTGAGTAAACAAAGATTTTTTGCCTCTCACCTGATGGCCTGAGTTTAATCCACAGAACCCACCCATACTTGGTGTTTGGAAGGAACCAACTGCCACAAGTTGTCGCTTGACCTCCACCTGTATTAGGTGGATGTTAGAGTAATAGTTGTGTGGATAGAGGGACTGGATACTGACAGTACTCAAAAAAGAATTTATGACCATTTTCAGCTACATTCTAGTCATATGAAAATACTCATTTTGAGAGTTTGCTGAAACTGTAAGTCTACTAACTACTCTTATAGTTTTAGTATCTCCACATTTATGTTGTGTTAAAACAATAAAGATGTCTGAGTAGAGTGAAAATTGAGAAAAACAGATCAAAAGGTTAAGAAACTAGAAAAGGGCCAGGCCGTATAGGTTCAGATCTGCCATGGTAGGGAGTTTTGATACTATCGTCATAGGGTGGGAAATCCCTGGAAAATTTAGAGGAAGAGAATGACATGCTGCTTTATATCTTGATAAACCTTTGCTGTGTAAAGAATGAACTGTAGCAGGAACAGAAATCAGAGACAGGAGCCCAGGCAAAAATGTTGGAATATTCAAGTAGGCTCATGGCATAGTGAAAGGGGCCAGTGTTGGATACGTTTTCAAATTAGAGCTATAAAGGTGGATTTCTGGGTCAGAAAGTACATAGCACTAGGTGTTTGCCTGAGTAGATGGTGAATGCCGTACTGCATATTGCTATAGGTATGATGGAGAGAAGGTGTAGTGCAGGGCCCCCTGCTGACCTGCTCCCTAGTTTAAGAGCTGTATGAAGGCCCAGCCACTTACTAGGCATCCAAAAAAGATGTTCAAATGACAGCAGAGTCCAGAGAGATTATGGATGGGGAAATAACAAGTCATTGATGTTATAGAGCTCTGGATGCGGTGAGGCTGCATATCGATGAGGGGATGAGTATATTAACTGTGGATGAGTGGAATAGAGGGATGGCCTTAGATCAACACTTTAATGTAAACAACCAGGAGAGATAGGGCAAAAAGTTCAGAAGATACAGTGGCTGTCCCAAGGCCACTCCCAGGGAGCAGAGGGAATCCTCTGTCACAGGTATAGAGAGTTCTCAGATGAAGAAGTTGGCAACGCCTTTGGCAAGGTGCAGGGTAAATACAGGGGGTTAGAAATTGATTAGTTAATGCAGTAAAAAAGGAAAGCTTTGCTGGACAGTGATGTCACGCACCTTTAATCCCGGTACTTGGGAGGCAGAGGCAGGCAGATCTCTGTGAGTTTGAGTCCAGTATGGTCTACAGAGCAAGCTCCAGGACAGGTTCCAAAGCTACCTGTCTTATATAGCAGAGAAGCACCTCCCAAAGTTAATGATTAAATAAAATATGAGCTTTATAATTTTTTTGTTTGTGAGACAGGGTCTTGGTATTCCATGTAAGCCTCAAGCTCTGTGGAGCTGAGGATAACCTTGTGTTTCTAAGCCTCCTCCTGCCTTTGCCTCCCAAGTGCTCACATTACAAGTTTCTACCACTGTACTTGGTTTTATGCAGTGCTTGAGACTGAACCCAGGCCTTTGTGCATGCCTTCCAAATACATCTCCCATATACACCTCCCTGCTCTCCTTCAAATTCATGGTCTTTTCTTATCGCATATGTGCATGCATGTGTGCACATGCACACACACACACCCCTAGATATAATCTGTCAGCTCTGTATGTTATTTTTATGCATGCTTTCAAAGCTGACTATTTAGTATTGGATAACCAGTTGGTATGTTCTTCTCTGTGGAGACTATTTCTCCCACTCTTAGTGTTCCTTAGTTGCCGGTAGCTATTTGTGTAGGGCTGGGGTCTCGTGGGCTATTCCATACTCACTTTGGCATGTCCATTGGTGGTGTCCTTGGACAGCTCACTTTTGGAAGGTCATGTGGGTAAGACTTCATGGGTGTAACTTCTGATGTTACTAGGAGACAGTCTCACTGCCAACGCCCTGGTCCTCTGACTTCTACCTACTTTTTGTCCCTTCCCTCATCTGCTTCTTTCCAAGTGTTTGCTTTGTTCTCTGAGATGTACTGACCGTGACCTTCTCAGGTTCTGCTCTCTACCCCTAACTTCAGCTTTACTTAGCTGCCATGTGATCTTCAACTCAAATTCCAGATGACCTTTAAACTTACCTGCCTGTCATCACCCCACAGCTGACCACTGTGTTTTAGTTTAAAGACTTCAATTCTAACTTTGTCGAATCCCTCATGCCCTTTCCTCCTCAGGTCAGTGTCAGTCGGTTGTTCCTGGGTCCTCTAGTCAGCCCCTGCTGGCAGGGGAGGAAATTCCCTGGGTAGAGCAGATGCATTATAGAAGGCAGAAGCCTTTTCTTCTAGCTCTTCATATTAAAATTACATGTTTACTGTGTGTCTGTCTGTGTGTGTGTGCGCGCATGCACACACTTCACTGTATGACATGGAAGTGGAAGGGGATTATTTGGGGAGAAGAAAGAGGACCCAGGTGACTTAGTTAGGGTTTCTAATGCTGCGACAAAACACCATGACTGAAAAGCAAGTTGGGGAGGAAAAGGTTTATTTGTCTTACACTCCACACTGTTGTTCATCATTGAAGGAAGTCTGGGCAGGAACCTCAACAGGGTAGGAACCTGGAGTCAGGAGCTAATACAGAGTCCATGGAGGGGAGCTGCCAACTGGCTTGCTCCATGGCTTGCTCAGTCTACTTTCTTACAAATTCAGGGCTGCCAGCCCTGGGATGGAACCACATACATTGGAGCTGGGCCTCCCCCATCAAACACTAATTAAGAAAATGCCTTCTAGTTGGATCTTATGGCGATGTTTTCTCAATTGAGGTCCCCTTCTTTCAGATGACTCTAGTGTGTCAGGGTATAAGACTAGCCAGTACAGAGGTGGAATGAAGTAAATATGATTGAGATAATGATCTTTATATGAAATGCCATAGTGAAACCCATTGTTTAGTAATGTAAACTAATTTTTAAAAATTACACTGTCAGTTGAAGACCTAGAAGGTTAAACCTTTAGGAGGAATGGCCTGAAGCTGTGGCTGATGGATGAGTACAGGAGGAATAAAAGAAGCTGTAGTCAAGCCGGGTGTTGGTGGCGCACACCTTTAATCCCAGCACTCGGGAGGCAGAGGCAGGAGGATCTCTGTGAGTTCCAGGACAGCCTCCAAAACAATACAGAGAAACCCTGTGTCGAGAAGCCAAAAACAAAACAAAACAAAACAAAACCAGAAGCTGAAGTCCACTGGATAGGCTCGGCTGGAGTACCTAGCTCTTTGCAGACCATGGAATGGAGTTTTAAAAATATATACTCCTATATGTCATATATATGTTTATATATTTCATATATGTGCTGCATGGGGAAACTTGAAGGTTTTGACAATCACTGTGTCTTTAGAAGAAAATGATAGGACTTAGATGAAGAGTTGTAGTCAGATTTTAGCTCGATATATAAATAATGATGGTTATACTTGTGTGCTGTTTGAGGAATTTCCATAGTCAAAAGAGGAAGGGCAATAATTAGATGAGAGCTGAGGTAGGCTCTATGAGTTGAGAACTGGAGACATCTGTGGCCTGGGCTCAACAAACCCTGTGTTAATTAGCTACAAAGTCTGCCTGACATTTTCTTTTAAATTTATAGCAACACATTCCTGAGCAGTTCTAAGTTCTCAGTTATAATGTGACAAGCTAGAAGTAGAGAATAGAATATAAGTGAAAGGCTCTTAAAACCACACAGGAAATTATCACTATAACATGTTTTATCTTTATCAGAATTGTAAGATTTCATTGTAGTCTTGAAGTGTATCAATGCTCTGATTTAGGCAATGTTGTCAGTTGCCCATGTCCTAGCACAGTGCCCAGAACTAACACATTTGTGTACATGGGGCAAATCTAATATAACTTACAGGTGCTGACCACAAAGGATATAGGTACTCATTAAAAGACATCATTGGTTGACATGTTTATGGCCACAATTATTAAATTTTAAGCTCAATGTACAGCATAAGAAAATACATGGATGTTCAAGTGCTTTCTTAATGAAATCCTTAAAGGGTTAATAATTTACAAATGACTGAAGTAAGTGGCAAAACTATGAAGAAACTTAGGAAAGTGTAATGAAAATTAAGAGACTCTGATACAGAACCCCGTTTAGCTAACACACAGCACAGAGAGCCTGGTGCTGTTCTAAGTTATGTATCTCCCTGGTTAAAATGAGAATGGGAACAATGCAAAGCCGTGAATAACATGGGCAGTGCGGAGCATGCAGAGAGAAGCTACAGTGAGCGGTCAGCATAAGCAGGGATGGGGTCTTCACATATGCTCAGTTTCTAGCATTTGCTGTATTCAGTGCTTGCTCTTTTCAGTGCCACTCACCAAAGCTGAGATAGACCTTCAGCCAAATCTTTTAGTAGCCACTTTGGAGGAGTTTCACTGGTCGCATTAAATGCTGCATGTGAAAATAACAATGTAGCTGATTTTATTTAAAATGTGTTAAATATTCTTTTCAAAATTATTGAAACTTTCTGTAATAACTTGATCATGATTTGATGGTTGTTTGTGCCAATACTAAGCAGTGCTGAGCTTCCAGGGAGAGTAGGTATCCTGTAATGCTGGGAAGGCCCAAGCACAGCAGATTGCTGATGGAAACTGCCCACCTAGAGCAGGCCAAGCTCACCTGCCAGATGCTGTGTAGTTTGTCTGACAAACTCATCTGAAATTGGGAGGCTTGGGGCTTCCTTCCAGCTCAATGCTGAAGCAAATTGCTGTGGGATATAAGATAATGTGATACTTAATTGCTGTGTAATATTTGTGTGCTGATCTTTGGATTTTTACCACGTGCTAAGGCATTTTTCCCTTTCTTCCCTAGGGAGTTGGTCTTTCAGTTCATGGGCGATTCCGAGTGGCTACTGAAAGGTCCCTCTTTGCAATGCCAGAAACAGGAATAGGTAAAAACACCGAAAGGTTTTTGTAACTACTTTTGAATCACATTTCTTTACTACATTTCACATATTTTATACATATACATACATCTACATCTACATTTGAGCCAAAAGACTCCATGTGAGATACAACAATGAAAGAACTCAAAAAAGCAAGATACTTTATATTAGCTCAGTAATTATATCACATATAAGAATATTTATCTGAACATATTAGTAATTAATCTTGGTAAGGAAAATATGCTGACATTTCCATCTGTGAAACTTGGAGAATTTCATAGGTCAGCATTCCTATTTTGTGTTAAAGAGAGCTGCTCCAGCAGGGTTTCTTGAAGAGGCTCTTGTTTCTCTACCATTGTCTTAGGCCAATGCCAGTGCTGTCTATGCTGCTCTCCTGTCAGTATAGTACCGTCTTGTTTGCTATTGCCTCACTGTGCTGCTGAAACCAGGTATTGATAGCCGAACCACTGTACCCCCACCCCCAAGTGGTTTTGGTTATAAAGATCATTTGTATTTCCATAAAAAATTTAGTGTAAGTTTTGGCAAAAAAATGCCTTCTGTTGTTGTATTTGGCAAGTTTACAGTCTGATCAATTTAGGCAAAGTTGACTTGTTTCATGGTTGTGTTGTACATGCTTGTGTGTGGGAGGGTGTGTGGAGACATGTATACTGTGTACCTGTGTCTTTCTCTGTTGCTCTCCTCCTTAGTTTTTGAGACAGTCATTCATTGACTCTGAAGCTGACCCATGTAACTAGACTGTTGGTCCAGCAAACTTCATGGATCCTCCTGTGTCCACCTTGCTGGCATTGGGATTGCAGGCATGTGCCACCACACCCAACCTATATAGTGTCTAAACTCTGGTCCTCATGCTTGCGTGGCAAACTCTTTACTGTGTAAATCATCTCCTCAACCCTAACGGCATTAAGATGGTGTCTTTGGAACAAGTTAGTGTTTCAGTTTTAATTATCCAAAATTTATAATTTTCAGTGTCTTACACATATTTTACCAGAATTGTGTCCATTTCCTATTGCTTGCTATGGTAGATAGTGTTTTTCATTTTAAAATTGAAAACGTTTTCAGACAATATATTTTGATCATGTTTTTCCTCTCCTAGTTCCTCCCAGCATCCTTATCACCTAACTCTATGTTCTCTCTCTCTCTCTTCCCTTCAAAAAAGAAACAAGAAACAAAAATGAAAATAAAACAAAATTCATCATCCCTCCACACAAAAACCCTAAACTCCCAATCAAAACAAACAACTAAGAGACCAATAATAATAATAAAAAAAGCTAAACCAAAGGAAAATGAAACAAAAGTTCACAAAAATGCCACTGAGTTCGTTCTGTGATGGCCAGCCGCTCCTGCACATGGGCCTGCCCTGGAGTGAGGTTGATGTTCCTAGTACACTCCTTTGGAGAAAGCTGCTGTTCCTTTTCCTAGCAGGTCTCAGTTGTGGATAGCTCTGGTTGTGTTCACTTGCCCCTGTGCTGAGACTGATACAGCTTGACCCTGTGTCAGTCCTGTGCATCTTGCTGGAGCCTCTCCATGTTCATATGTGCCGTGTGTTGTCAGTCCCGCTGTGGCTGGAAGAGTCTGTCCTTGGAGTCATCCATACCTCTGCTCCTTAACAGTCTTCCTGCCTTACAGATCTTTCTTCCTTACAGATCCCTGAGCCTTGAGAGAGAGGGGTTTGATAAAGACGTCCCATTTAGGACTGAATGCTCCTAAGTCTCTCTCACTCTGCACATTTGTCTTCTTCCTTGGGACATCCTCTTCTCCTCCCTAGTCCTTTACTATGTTCCTAACCTCTGAGATTATTAGGATTGTAGTCCACATATCAAAAGCTTAAAAGCTAACATCCACATATAAGAGAAAACAGTATTTTTCTTTTTGGCTCAGAATGATTTTTTTCTAGCTCTTGTGTGTAAACAAGAACAGAACATCTTCATGATCTGTTCATCAGTTGATGGGCATTTAGGTATTTCCAGTTTCAGGCTATTATGAATCTAGCAGCAATGAACATGGTTGAGCAAGTGTCCTTGTGGTAGGATGGAGAGTGCTTTTGGTACATGCCCAAGAGTGATATTCTTAGATCCTGAGGTAGATGGGCTCCCATCTTCCTGAGGAATCACCACACTGATTTTCACAGTGACTGTACAAGATTGCACTCCCTTACTCAACACCCTTGCCAGCATGAACTGCCATTTGTCTTATTGGTATTGGCCATTGTGATTGGTATAAGATAGAATCTCAAAGTAGTTTTAATTTGCATTTTCCTAATGGCTAAGGATGTTGAACATTTCTCTTAAGAGTTTCTCAGCCATTTGTGTTTCACCTTTTGAGAACTCTATGCTTAGTTCTGCACCTTATTTTTATTTTTTTAGCTGGGGTTATTTGTTTCATTGATGTTTAGATTTTATTTTTTGCTTTTGGTTTTTTGTTTTTAGTTCTTTATATATTCTAGATACTAACCCTATATCAAATATATAATAGATGAAGTTTTTTTCCTATTGTATAGGCTGATACTTTGCCTGAATAATGGTGTTTTTTGCCACATAGAAGCTTTTCAATTTTACAAGGTTGATTTTATGTTGACTTAGTTTTGGTAGGTCATTTATATCAAGAAATTCATCTGTTTCTTTTAGATTCTCCAATTGGGTGAAATATAGATTTTTTAAATTGTCCTTATGGTTCTCTGAATTTCCGTGGTGTCTGTTGTTATGTCTTCCTTTTCATCTCTAATTTTATGCAGTTGAATCTTCTATCTTTTAGTTGATTTGGGTATGGGTTTGTCAGTTTTGTTAGTTATTTTCAAGGAACCAACTCTGTTTCATTGATTCTTTGTATTGATTTTGTTGTTATTGTTGATTTATTTCATCGTGGAGTTGATGTTCTCCCATCTACTTTTTGGGTATTATTTCTTCTTGTTGCTCTCAAGCTTTTAGATTGTTGTTAAGTTACTAACAAGAGAATCCTCCACTCTTTTGTCATTGTGGGGAGTGTTCCTACCATATTGCTGAAGAATGGATTTTGGGTTTTTTCACATATTTGTTTCTGTGTCTATTGAGGTGATCATTGGCACTTTCTTTTTCTTTTAGTTTATTATTAGTAAATTATTTTTTTGGTTTTTATGTACAAATTTCCCTATGATATATCTTCCTCTGATATTTGTAAACCTTTTAATATGTTATTTGGTTCGAATTGCTGAAACTTTATTTGTAACTTTGTAACTCTGATTATGAGGCATTTGTAGTGATTTGTAATGACTTTTCTTTGTGTGAGTATTGATAATGTTGATTTTTTTCTTTCTGGAAGAGCTTGTGTAGAATTAGTATCATGTCATGTAGAAAACACCAGTAAAGCCATGTAGGCTGGTAGTTTTCTCTTTAAGAATGTTTATAATCATAGATTCAAAGCCTGTGCTACATATTTGGGTAGTCAATCTATTGTCTTGTGCAAGCATTGGCAGGTTGAATCTTTGAAGAAATTTTTGCAGACTCTGTAGTGTTTTCTGCCCCTGTCATTCTTGATTAATTTTATGTCTATTCCTTTTTTCCCCTATCACTCTAATTTGAAGTTTATCAGTTATATTGATCATAAATCAGAATTTGGTTTTCATTTAATTGGTTTTTGCTGATATGTTTATTATTTTTAACTACTTTAGTTTTCATTTGCTGCTTTATTTTTCTAGTCTTGTCAGATAAAAGCAGGTTAATTGGCTTTTCAAAAAACCACCTTTATTACACATTTATTAGAAAGCGTACTCCAAATTTTGTATTCTGATCTCTTTCCATGGTAGTCCTGTATGGTGAGATACTCTCCTCTGTTCCCTGGGCTTCAGTTCCTGGTCAGCACCATGATCATAAGAATGCACTGTTGTGTGTCCAGCGTGTTGTGTGGCTAAGTGATGATGCTCAGTGGGTTGTGTGTGAAGTGCATTTCAACTTACATGGTGGCACTGACTTCAGTATTTTCCAACAGACTTGGTGTACAGCTCCACTGTGAGTCAAGGAGCACCTACACTTCAAATGTGCTGTTACACCATCTTGTAGCTTACACTGTTTCCTAGGGGAAAAATATCATTTCATCCTAGTTTTGTTTCGACAATGTTAATACATGTGTTTACTTCTCTGGGCATTCTTAAGACTTCTTCTTAGGCTATTTGGTCACAATGTTTCTTGATGCAGTTCTCTTCATCTTTCATGTGTATATGTTTATCTGGCTACTTAGATTCTTTCAAATTTGGATTTTATTTTTTACAATTATTTCTTCAAATATTTTTCTTTTAGATACAACTTTTGTACTTAATGTTAGATGTGATCTTGTTTTGTCAGTGTGTATGTGCATGTGAGTGTGCTTGTGTGTGTATGTGTGTGTGTGTATGAGTGCCTGAGTGTGTGTGTGTATGTTTGTGGTATGTGTTTTTATGTTTGTGGTGTGTGTATATGAGTGTGTGTATGTGTGTGTGTGTGTTTGAGTGCCTGAGTGTGTGTGTGTATGTTTGTGGTATGTGTTTTTATGTTTGTGGTATGTGTATATGAGTGTGTGTGTTTGTGTGTGTGTTTGTGTGTGTGTGTGTGTGTGTGTGTGTGTGTATTGGGGATTGAAACTCAAGACCTCACAGTGCTAGGTAAGTGCTCTACCACTGAGGAATATGTCCAGCCCTTTATTTCCTTTTATAAACTTTGAGACAATGTTGTGAATTACTCAGGGCTGACAGGAGTCCATCCTGTAGCCCACACAGCCCTTAAATCTGTGATCCTTCTGCATGTGCGTCTGTAGCTATAATTACTCACCTATATGCAAGCCCTTTGTTCATTTTCAATTATTGTTTCTTCTGTTTTCATTTAATTTCATTTCTATATTTTAAACTTCTCCCTCTGTAGTCTAATCTGCCCATAGCATTTATAAATATTTTTCAGTCTGTGCATTCATATCAGTTTTCATCTATGGAAATATGATTTGAGTTGCAAAATATAACTTCTCTGTCTGTAAATTTTTTGAACATGTGAACAAACTCTTACATTTATGTTAATTGGTTTAGTCTTACTGTGCATTGTCCTGACTGTCTGTATTTCTTGATGACTGAAATGCTACTGTGCTTGTTTTTGACTTTTTGAGTTCTTACAAATGTTCTTGCACTTTCTTCTAGGATGAATGAAAGTTGATTAGAAGCATTTTGGTCTTGTTAGACATTTAGGGTTTGGTGTTTTCTTTTTATGTAGGGTGGGGATGATGCGTTAAGCTACCATTGATTATTTACAACTACAGTTAGGGTCTGCCTTTGTGTCTGCCTGGTGCCTAGACTCTTGATCTTCATCTTGTTGGCCTATGTGGTGTTTGGGCAGAGGCTTTCCACTTAGTTTTTGGTCCCTTCCCAAGGCTCAGGTCTCTTCTTCACATACTGTTCTGATGAGTTCTAAGGGGAGCCCTGGATGGGGAGCCCCTGAGGTGTAACTAGGGACAGCACTGGATCATTCAGTTGTGCTTCTGGGTAGAGGAGGCAGATCAGCAGAGACATGTTGTAGTTGAAGGGGTGTGAGTCCAAAGCTGTGGTTTTGTGTGTGGAGATGTTTACATACCATGTGACTTCAGAGAAGACACTGTTGAGTTTGGTATTTGAGGGGAAAGGCACAGTTAGGTTTGAGACTGGTCGTCAACCTGAGCCTATTCAACAAAACCATAGATTGATTGCCTTAAAGCAACATAGTGGTTCTCACATCTCTGAGGGCTGAGAGCCAAGGTCAAGGTGTCAATAAGATTGGTTCCCCCTGAGCTGCCTCCTTACCATGTCTTCATGTGGCCTTTCCTCTCTCTGTGTATCTCTTTCACATAAATAGTTCTGTTGGATTATGGTGTCCCTCCTTGCAATCTAACATACCTGAATGTAGTCAGGGCTTTTTGTTGGGACTGCTGGCTCCCCAGTAATAAATGGAGACATTAATTATGAAAGCCATAACTTACACTTGTTATTAATTAGCTCTTTTGTTTGCTTTGTTTTTTTGTTTGTTTGTTTGTTCTTTTGAGACAGCAAGCTCTGTATTGCTTTGGAGCCTGTCCTGGAACTCGATCTGTAGATCAGGCTGGCCTCAAACTCACAGAGATCTGCCTGCCTCTGCCTCCTGAGTGCTGCGATTAAAGGCATGTGCCACCAACGCCTGGTTTTGACTAGCTCTCACTACTTAAATTAACCCACTTCTATTAATCTACATATTGCCACATGGCTTATGGCTTTACCTGTCCTCACATGTCTTGCTTCCTCTGCATCTCCTGGAGATCCCACCTTTCTTCTTCCCAGAGTTCTCTGTGTCTGGTTGTTCCACCTGTACCTCCTGCCTAGCTAATGGCTACCTAGCTTTTTATTAAACCAGTAAGAAGATACCTTGGCAGGGACACATCTTTACAGTGTACAGAAGGGTTATTCCACAACAGTTGCATTGTGGGCTGAAGCTTCAACATACAGGTTTTGTTAATAGCCAAGAGTAATCAGCATTCGGGTGCTACTTAAAGCCACAGGAGTCAAGGGGCATCCTGATAGCAAGTGTAGTCTCTTCCCCACTCAGAGATCAAGCTGCATAGGGACATATATGGAAAGAAGTGCTCAGTGTGTGTCAGAGGCTGGGCCGTGCCTTGCGGGATAATGGCATGATCCAGGACAAGAGGGTCTCCTGTGTTCAGATCTCACCGTCGAGGTGAGATGAGAAGACACAGGAGTGGCTAGGGCAGAACATGATTACAAGAGATGCTCCTAAAAATGTGTTGACTGGGTTGGGGGGGTGTTCTAATCTAATAGAAAAAAACAGCCACTGAAAAATTTTAAGGAATGTGAATTAAGACTCTGATCAGAATTTATGTTTAAAAATATCACACTTTCTGGGCATTGTAATCCATACCTATAATCCCAGTGCTGAGGAGACTGCAGGCTGAGGGAAGAGACCATGAGTTCAAGGCTACTGTGGGCTACCCTGAAAGACTCTCTCAAGTTAGCAATAGGAAAAGATGTGCTTTCTGCTTGGAAAGAAGATATTTTGACAGTTGCACTGGCTGTCAGTCTTAAGTACCACCACCTTTTGTCTTTTGAGACAGGTAGGTTCTCCTTGCTGACCTGACCTTGGTCAAGCTAGTCATGTGACCCTGGTACATCTCTCCCTCCCTCCCTCCCTCCCTCCCTTTCTCTCTCCCTCCCTCCCTCCCTCCCTCCCTCCCTCCCTCCCTCCCTCTCTCTCTCTCTCTCTCCCTCCCTCCCTCCCTCTCTCTCTCTCTCTCTCTCTCTCTCTCTCTCTCTCTCTCTCTCTCTCTCTCTCTCTCTCTCGTTCAGCATTGGAATTGCAATCAGATGCTGCCCCACCTGGAATTTTAAGCATGAGTTCTAGGTGTCAGACTCGGGTCCTCACTGAGCCATCTATCACCCAATACTGCATACTCCTAATATACAAGATATTGTAGGATCAAATACTTTGCTTACCTCTGTAGCAATGAGATACAAAGAATTTCTTGTGATTTGATTGTATAGCACACAGTAATTGTAGTACAGATCCGCAGTGTATAGAAATGGCTGCATGATGTAAGAACCTAACTCTACCTTCTTTTTGAATTACTCTCTTTGCTGTACTTAATTACAGGGCTATTTCCTGATGTGGGCGGAGGTTATTTCTTGCCAAGACTTCAAGGAAAGCTGGGTTACTTCCTTGCACTGACAGGGTTCAGATTGAAAGGAAGAGATGTACACAGAGCAGGAATCGCCACACACTTTGTAGATTCGGAGAAGGTAATTGCTTGCTGGAGTGGTTGAGATCACACATCTTTGGTGAGTATGAGTATGAATGCAGAAATTATTGCATAGAGCGGTGTGACCTTGGAGAAAGTGCTTAAGCCTCCTCCCCTCCCCCACTCGTTCACCTTCCTGTTCCTCCTCCATGCTGTCCCACTTCACAAGGGCCCCTTCGTTTCCTGCCTCATCCTTCCTTGAGAGGCAGCACGTGGCTGCAGTCCATCTCTTTCAGGGGTTATGTGAAGGGAGCATAGATTTTAGATTTTCAGATAAGGATCCTAAGGGGTTAAAAGCTTTCTGCCTCTGTCAAGTTTCATGTCTTGTTTTCTTTCCTTTTAGTTACACAAGTTAGAAGAAGAGTTGTTGGCCTTGAAATCACCCGCAGCAGAAGATATTGCAGGTGTCTTAGAAAGCTACCATGCAGAGGTAAGTAGGGTTCCAATCACAGGAAAGCAAAGTACTCACACAACGAACAGATGGTAAGCGCTAGTTTGAGGCTGTAGAAAACGCATTGCAAGTCATTTACTCACACAGTGAGTGGATGGTGAGCTTCATAGCTGTAGAAAGTATACTGAGGATCATTTACTTTAAGGCTTTGTGGGAGGACCAGAACCTGAGTGTTGGGCTAGCCAGTTGATACCTGCTCTCCTGTGCAACCTCATAGCTTGTCTTTTAACTTATGTGCTCAGCCTTGGAAGGAGCTTTTACAAAAGCTTTTCAATGCTCCGTGGCATTTCTATGACAGAGGTTCAATGTTCAGACTATTTGTGGAGCTGCTAAAGTGAAACGCTAATAATAAAATATGCTGTAATGTTCAATTTCTTACTTATGTCACCTGAGTTTTCTTTAAAGACCAAGAATAGAAAGTGGGGAGATAGTTACCCAGTCAGTAAAGTGATTGCTGCACAAGCACATCAGGACTTGAATTTGATCCTCAGCACCCACTTATGGGAGCTTTTTATAAAGCTAGATGTGTGGTACATTTGTAACCCCAACTCTGGGAAGGTGGAGACAGACATGTCCCCTGAGGCTTGTTGGCTAGCCAGCCTAGCCTAGGTTAAATGGTGAAGTCCAAGTGCTAATGAGATAGCACTTAAAGGGGAATGCCATTGCTGGGCGGTGGTGGCGCACGCCTTTAATCCCAGCACTGGGGAGGCAGAAGCAGGCGGATCTCTGTGAGTTTGAGGTCAGTCTGGTCTTAGCCAAGACTACACAGAGAAACCCTGTCTCAAAAAACAGAAACAAAAGAAAAAAGAAAAAGAAAGGAATGGCATGCATGCACAAACATGCACACACACAAATACAGAAAGCCAAAGATGCTTAAAAATCACGATTGAATACATGCATCTCCTAAAATTTCACTGCAGTAGTAATAAAGGAGGAAAAAGAGCATAGATTGATGAAGTCAATAAAATGAAAGGAAACAAAGGTAGCAGCTTCAAAGAGGAAGGCTCTAACTTAGAAGTGAGATTATGTCATCCTACAGTGTGGGAAGCCAGCTGGAGCAAGCTGAATCCTGTGGAGAGCCCTTTAAGGAACCATGAACCTCTGAAGACCTGCACAGTGGGCAGGGGCATAGCACACTGGTGGAGCGCTTGCTCAGCATGTGCAAGACTGTCTCTTCAGCACTGCAAAGTAGGACTAGAGTAGGAGAGAGGAAGAACAATGAAGAAGAGAGGTGACACAGTCAGAAAGAACTAGAGGTGGGGCAGAGGCAGGGATACTGGTGTGGAGAAGGAAAAACATCAAAAATGTCTTAAAGCTTTAATAAGTGCAGTTAGACCTCCAGAGTCTAGAAAGTCTAGCCAAGGGGCAGGGATGGGTGGGGTGCTATAAAGGAGGGGAGGGGAGTATGCTAAGTGGGAAGACCTGTAATGCCTTTAAGGGACAGGCTTGCAGAACCAGTGTCTGCTATCCTCCTCCCAAGCATTGGCACCATTCAGTTGCCAGCTGTGGTAGACATATCATACAACTCACTAAAGGCAACAGGACTGTCCAGAGTGCTGTATTCTTCAGTATCAGAATGGAGAAACATGATATATAGGCTTTAAAGCAATAGATTGGGGTTCATTGTTAAAACAGCTGTATAACAGGACTGCCCGTACAGTGCTGTCAGGAAAAGTAGCACATCCAAAATGCAGGCCCAATTGCTCATTCCTGTGATCCAGCCTCACCTTCCAATAAGTGTGTGTTCTCTACTGTAAGAATGACTTTGGTAAATTGGCATTTCTTTATAAGAAGGTGCCTGGATTACGTCATGTGAGATGCGGGTTAATAAAACAAAGATTCACTAGAAATATACACAGGAGAGCTCCCATTTGGAGGTAGAACAGCCATAAAGGCTGAGAACTGAATACTGTAGTTGGTTTGCACTTGTGGTTGACTTCCTGAGGACGCTGTTTCCCTCTGAAGGTAGAGCCAGCCATACACTGTGCATTTCTAGCTCTGATGGAGGTTGACATGGTGTTCGCAGGTCTTATGTCCTAGACTCTTACCCTTAGATTCATAGAAACATTTCGATGATAAGAAATAAATAAATAAATAAATATTTTTTTTGCCTTTGGCACTTTCAAGTGTTTTTCTGGAGTTCTTCAGATTGTCTGAATTTTGAACATATGGTGGCAGTTATTTATGAGAGTGTTAAATGTAATTTGAATGAAAGTGATAATCTGTCACAAAGTGTATCATTAAACGTGATAAACTTTTAAAGGATTTAAAAAAAAGATTTAAGTCACTTCAGAGTACTTCTTTTCAAACAGTCCAAGATGGATCAAGACAAATCTGTCATATTTGAGGAACACATGGACAAAATAAACAGGTACTTAACACAAGATACCGATCATGCTGTCCTTTGGAAGGCTATATTAATCAGATCTGCTCCCCTTGTCATTATATTGGTTGATAATACTCCACAGTGTGAGATGGGTAGTTTCCTGCTTTCATTTTCATTTACCTCCTCTTCCAAGAGGAAATAACTCATTGCTGTCCTCTCCCACGCTTACTCATTTTGATACAAAGTATCTCTTTTAAAAGTTAGACAGAAAGGTCAGAGGATAATGGAAATTACCTTACTTTTTGTTTTCACAATGTCATCTTCCCAGAAAGTATTATTACACTAGTCAGCAAAAGGCTTTGTGTGTGATCTCAGAACCTAGCCAACTGGCCCAAGGGAAAAACAGGAGGAAGATGACTGGGAGATAGTGCTTCTGTCTCTGTTTTGAAGCATCAGGTTTTTGTAGTTTAGCATGTATTTAAATGTAATTACCAGCAATGCATGAAAGCAAATGAGAAGCCAAGATTAGGTTTTATTTCTCACTGCAGTGGTAGATGACAAATGCTCCTACACAGGGAAGTAGTGTGCACTTCCTCCCTTGCAAAGCACATTGAAAGTCATCATGTTGACATGGGCCTTAGGGAAAGCCAGTGCCGGAGGTTCATTGGTGTATTGGAAATAGAAAATTACTTGTACAGTGGTGAAATTACATATGTGTTTTCTTTTTATATATAAATATCTAGGTGTTTTTCAGCAAATACTGTGGAACAGATTATTGAAAACTTACGGCAGGATGGTTCACCTTTTGCCATAGAACAATTGAAGGTAATGCACGAATCCTTTGTGGACATCTTGGGAAGGGGGATCCTGTCTGAGGGTTGTCAGTATTCTATGATAGTGTCCTAAGAAGTCTCTGAAAGCAGTTCTCCTAAACCTTGGCTATCCCCAAATGTCATGCCTACTTGCTTGGTTTTGAGAACCAAGCAAAGCTGGTTTTATGTCCTTTAAGTATAACAGAGAAGGACTTTAGTGGCAGTATTGCATTTCTAAATGTCCCTTTGTCTTGTGGGAGACACACATAGAAGTGTGTTTATTAGAAGGGTTGAGTCACTGAGGAATAGTCACCTGGTGATAATATATGACAGTGGTGATTTAGCTTATAAATAATGTTTAATATGTAAGATGGTCTTCTTTAACCAAACAATTTAATAAAGAAGTGATACTGTTTAAGTTAGCACACCTCCATTTTCTGTCACCACTGACTTTTACGTAGTGTTCCTCAGAGTTAGCAGCACTTTGGACTTTCTACACATAACTGGTAAAAGCCAAAGAAAAACCATTTGGGGGATAGTGTTGTGTGCACCAGGATGTGATAAACTTGGGCCTGTCATAGGATTGAATGTGAAACAAAGTATTTCAGAATTCTAGACAGAGGAATGAAAAGGTATGCTTCTTCATACTTGAAGTGTGTTTGAGCTTGTCTTTATCTGTGTAAATTAATCCACATTGTGCTGCACAGCAGTAGGTTGGATGTTCATTTCCATTTTGGCAAGACATTCAGTTGCATGATATATCACATTGACTTTTTCTACTGTTATGCATCTGGGGTAACTTGCAGGTTTTTACTGTAAGAATTGATGTGACCCTGAACATTTGTATATATCTTATAATAATACAGATTCATATATCTGTTGGGTGTATACCCACAAGTAGCATTACAAACCCCACAGGCTTTGTGTATACAATTTTCATTATTCTAAATACTCTTCCAATAAGATTGTTTCTGATTGTATTTGAGCACTGGTTGACTCCACAATCTTACCAATATATGGTATCATTTCTTTTTTATTTTAGTCATTTAAGAGCATATAAAATAACATTGCATTGTGGTTTTAATTTGCATTTCCATAATAAGTAATGACATCAAAAGCCATTTTATATATTTATTGACCATATGGATAATGATTCCTGTGAAGTATCTTTTTAAATATTCTTCATATTATTGATTTGCAATATTTTTTCTGTTCTGAATGTAAGTCCTTCAGTTGGCATATGTATTGCATACATCTTTCTCCTTTATCATTTACCTTCTCTTTCTCTTCCTGATTCCACATGAAGAACAAAAAAGTTAATAATAATCCCAGTGTCTTTCCCCCTTTTATCATTGGTTCTTTAGGTCCTTTTAATGGACTTATTGGCTACCCTTGAAAACATTCAGATAAAAAAATATATTGTATATGAAAGCATTAGGACCCTTGATATCTTCCAAAGAGGGAAGTTAATGTTAACATTTTACATCTAGAGTGTTGAAGCTCCTGTGAGTTTTGTGACCCCCTAGCAGGACTCAAGACTCTGCATGTGATGAAAACACACAAAGAAAAACCAAAGGGAAGGCACATGGAGTGAGGTCTGGAGAAAACCAGGTGAAGTCACATAGTGTCTGCCTATTCCCTCAGCACGTCAGTGAAACATGATTCACTGACAAGATTCAGTGTCATTGGGGACTAGTCCTGTAGTCACTCTCCACTAAGCACAGCAGAATCCCAGTGTTCTTACGGAAATCTCAGTGATTCTTCTGCACATTTAGGCCTAAATTCATTTCAGTTGCATTGCAATTTTCTTTATAGAGAATTACATTGTATATTTTTCATTGGATTTATCACTTGATTGTGATGGTTTTGATGCCTTTGAAAATGGTATCATTTAAAATCTAATTTTTTGTTTGTTGAGATATAGAAGTACAATTGATGCCAAAATTTGTGTGTATGTGTGTATGTGTAATCTTGTACCTTATATCCAGAACTTGGCTAAATTCGTTATGGAAATATTTATAGTTTATAGATTACTTTGAATTTTTTGTGGATTTAATTTTATCTTCCCTTCTCTTTTTCTTTGCCTCCTTTCCATTTTCCTATTAACCCCACCCTACAACACACACCCCCTGCCCATCTTCTTACATTGGCTTATACCACCAGCACCATTTGATGGAAATGATGAGAGCTACTCATGTCATCTTCCTATCCTGGGGAAAGCTTCTAAGTACACCAAAGTTGCTATTGCTGTTATGTATCTTAAGGACATTCTTTAGCCAATCTTGCCTTGTTGCCTACAAGGATTTTTTATAATTACTGTTCTAAGTGTTAGAGTTTATCATTTTTCTGTAGCTGTGTAGGATGATAATATGATTTTAACATTTTCTCTGTTAGTATGGTTGATTATAATAGTTCTGTCCACCCTAGTGTTTGGAATTAAATCCAAGATCTGTGGGTACTAGGCAAGAGTTCTACCAGTGAACTATAACCCAAAGCCTATTGTAGCTGTTTTTCCTCTGTGTTTTAGGAAATGTCACTTATTCCCAATATGCAAAAATGCCTCCTGTTCTTTCTTCTAAAAGTATTTTAGTTGTTGCCCATGTTTGTTTGAATGAGAACATGGGCTCACCTGTCTGAAGACTTGGTCCCCAGTTATGGAACTATTTGGAAAGGATTACAAAGTATAGCCTTGTTGAAGGAGGTTTGTCACTTGGGGTGACCTTTAAAGTTTTAAAAGTCCATGACATTCCCAGTTAACTTTCTCTGCTTCATACTTATGAATCAAGTGTAAACTACAGTCACTGCTCCAGTACAATGCCTGCCTGCCTACTGCCATGCTCCCCACCATAATGTTCATGGACTCTAATCCTTCGTAACTGTGAATCCCAAATTAAATGCTGTCTTGTAGAGAAGTGGAGAGTCAGTAGATTCCAAGACAGGTTTGAAGACCTGAGGGTATTGGTGTCTGAGCCCAAGCACAATGACTCACAGTGGGAAGTCATTGCTTGGCTCAGTCCATGGATTCCGTGCATCCCCATCCAGTAACATCATCACAGACAGAGTCAGGCTAGGGAGCAGTAAGAAGAATTTAAAGCTTCCTCCTTGGGCCTTCTTAAGCTACAATCCTTTGCGTTTCTCTTTACCATCAAAATTACAGACAGGGTTTAGTCACATCTATTTAATCCCAAATATGGTGTCTCTCTCACCATCATCTTCCTTGGACTTCTCTTTGGTGTCAAGGCTGTTACTTTGTACAGAAGAAGGAATTGGGCTTTGGAGCTCATAACCTTGAATTTGGATTCCAGCTTTCACTTGGACCAGTTTGCATCAAGGCCCAGCTTCCTCACCCATGAAATGATCTTACTACCCCCTTTACAAAGTAGGACTAAACATGTTAAAGTACTTCTCTAACTTCTAAGGAAAATGTTCTTCATAAATTTCCCCTTCATAGCCTGCAGGGATGGCAGCAGTTGAGAGCACCCTTGCTTTTCTAGAGGATCCAGGTTCAATACCCAACACTCATATTCCTCTAAGTGTGTTAGCGCCATTCAGTAGTTCACAGGCCATAAGACAGCAGGTTCAGCAAGCATCTTTCATTGTTTGCAGGCATGTAACAAGCATGAGTAAATAGGACTTTAAGTGGCCTTTTTTATTAACTGGTAGCCAACAGATGACATATAAAAAGAGGAAGCCCACCCCCATTTTATAAACTGGAATGGACCTTCTGAGCAATGACTGTAGTGAAGTGCTGGGGAGCTGGCTTGAACACCACAGGGCTGCTGGGAACTTGGCTGTCTCTGGAGACTGGAAAAGCCAGAAAGGAGCTGTGTTTAAACATACGTTTTAGCATAGTGATGTTCTTTCAAGTGCTTCCCTGAGATAATGTGGGTCCATTCTCACTAAAGGAAAGAAGGGATATGCCAGCAAAATGGTCCCTTTGTATGCCTGCCAAGTGTGGCACGTGGTGCATACAGGTTGCTATGCTGCTGTCCTCAGCCTCATTGCTTGCAGCCATCAAACAAGAACCTGGAATACAACTTCTGTTAGAACCAGAATGTGGACTAGTATCCTAACGGCCCTCACTCAGAAGTATAGCCCTTTCAAGGGTGCCACTCATAAAGGCCTCTGTCATTGTCCTCTCTTCACTAGCACTGAGCTTGTGGGTAGGTTGCTGATACCTCCTGAACTGTTTCCTGTGTAGTAGTCAAGTGCTAAGCTTCAGCAAGTGCTAAGTGAGATCCTTTTCTCTCCACTCTGTTCCTTGAGTGTGCACGGACAGACTTGAGGATGTTACAGAGGACACAGAGCCTTCTATGTGAACAAAACCTGTACGAGACTGGGCCTATCATTCTGCCATGGGTTGGGGAGGAGCTCCTGAGGCCCCGCCACTCCCTGAGGAGCTATCAATAGTTACTAGTTTCCAGGGAAGAGGAATAGTATTCCTCAGTGCTGTAACCACTGGTAAATTACTGTGCTCAAGTACTTCCCCCACCCCACCCCCACCCGTCATGCTCTGCATGCAGGGAACCCTAACTACATGCTATTGTCCACTCATATAACAAAAGGCATTAACGTAGTGAGGAGACATGTTGCTTGTTGGAAAGAAGAGTGTTCAGTGGGGAAGGGGGATAAGAAGATACCCAGTAGACTATAATCAAGTAATACACACATGCAAAACTAAAAAAGAAAATAAAATTTAAAAATACAGAATTTGAGATGAGAATTGTTTGAACCCAGTTTAAACCTTTGAGTCATTAAATCAATAATCAACTAGAAACTTGTATGTGCAGTTATAAAGGAGCGTGCAGGTATGTGATGACCTCTTGGATCAGCCAGGTGGTCGCAGTCATATGTGTGACTTGGAACACTAGTAATAGGATCTTTAAATTCAGAACAAGTCGCATGGCATTGTAGCTGAAGGATTAGGTATGGCATTCTTATTTTTTAATTAATATTAAAGAAGGGTTAGTCATGAGCTGTTTGTGTGTGTGTGTGTGTGTGTGTGTGTGTGTATGCGCAGGTTTTTCAGAGGTGAAGAGCCTACTTCAGTTAAGACACATATCTAGATCACAGTTGCTACCTCTCTACTCCTTCTCGTTCTTATTTTCTTTCAGCACTTTCCCGATAGCTGGGGTCAGAGCAGTCCGTGATTCCTTCCTTCCCTTCTTGGTTGCTCAGATCTCTTTTCCTGCTGACATTCATGAGGGATGTTCCTGCAATGATGCATACTCTGCTTCTGTGTAATCTCTACTTAGCTTATGCCAGGCAAACTTAAATGAGGTTATTTGATTAGATAAGTTTACTACATTGTGGAGTGGTCTGTGTCACTGTTGTGGTGGGCTAGAACGTTGTTATTTCACGTTTTGGCAGGACTAAGTTAAGGCACAGTTTTTAATAAGTCTTTGGAACATGAAGAAGTTCTAAAGCACAGTGTCACTCTGGTTTCCATGGACGTTTAGCCAGGGTATTACCTACAGCAAAGGAGCAGTTGGGTAATGAGGAATATTTTTTTTCTCCAAAGATAATTAGTAAAATGTCTCCGGCATCCCTGAAGATCACACTGAGGCAGCTCATGGAAGGCTCCTCAAAGACCTTGCAAGAGGTACTGACCATGGAATACCGGCTAAGTCAAGCATGCATGGTAAGAATTTTATACTGAGTGTTGTTATTTTCTTGTTAGGAAATTCATTGTAGAACATGTACAATTCAGACTAGAATAAGCAAGTGGCAGACAGATTATCAAGGCTTAAAGGAGTTGGGTCATAGTCCGAGAAAATGATGAGTCTTTAAAAAAATTCATGGAAAACATTCAGGATCTATGTGCCAAACTTATGTATTATAGGCATTGAAGAGGAAGAAAGCAGTTGAAAGGCACAGAAAATATTTCCAATAAAGTCATGGGGAAAAAATTCCAAATCTAGGGAGAAACCATTTAGGTGAACAACACATACAGAACACAAATGTGGCCAGAACAGATCCCCACATCATATGCCACCAAAGCACTAAAGGTACCCAGTGTGGAAAGGACAGTGAACATTATAAGAGACAGACCAAGTCACATAGAAAGCTGGGTTATCAGAATAGCAGCTGAATTTGCAATGCAGACCTTCAAAGTCAGATGGGCTTAGACCAGTGAAAGACCACAGATCCCAAACCAGGCTATTTGACCGGGCAAATCTGTCTTTCATAATTGAAGACAAAAGAAAAAGTCCTGCAACAAAAGCATGTAAAAGTAATCTGTGACCACCAAGCCAATTCAGTGGATAGTAGAAGGACACCTCAGATTGAAGAGAAAGATAAGCATAATAGGAGGTGACAGGGAGAAAAATTCATGTTATGTCAGTAGTTACACAAGGGATACTAAGAAAACAAACATCACAAAGTCAACAGTCTGACACATGTGACAATCAGGGCACAGTTGTCCATTCCAAGCAAACAGTGATGAGACAGGAATTACTGTCCTAATAGCTGACAAAAGAGACTTCAAATTAAAACTAATATGAAGCCACAAAGAAGGTCACATTATACTTATCAGAAACAATCCATTGAGAGGGCATTATAACTATAAACATATATACAACAAACTTTGGCACATCTAATTTCATAAAGCCAATGCTACTAGACATAAAGCTGGTGATTACCCCCAATAAATTAGTAATGACTTCAGTACCCCCACTTTCATTAAAGGACACACCATCTAAAAATAAACTGAAAAATAGTGGGACCAAACATCAGATGGGGCTGTTACCTGCAGAATATTGAACCCACACACTAGAAAGTACACTTTCTTTTCCATGGCCTATGGAATTTTCTCAAAAAATAGGCCACATATTATGATACAAAACAATTCTCAACCAAGGAAAATTGGAGTAACTCCTTGTATTTTTTTCTGACTACAGTGGAATAAAACTAAATATCAACAGTGACAGAAAACATACGAAGTCTTGGAAGTTAAGATATATACTATTGAATAATAAATGGATCACTGAGGAAATAAAATAAATTACTAAAATTGAATGAGAATGAAAACACCACATACCCAAATCTGTGCAAAACAAGGCAATAGTAAGAGGGAAGTTTATAATCAGTGAGTGAGTTGGCAAGCCATTTCAGAGTGGCAGAGGCAGAAGTTAGAGTGCCATAAACTGGAGGGGAAATAATGTATGTATACAGCCTTTGCTTCTTGAAACGGAATCTAGGACTGTGAGGATTATTCGTAAGATGTGAGGTATCAGAACACGGTCATAAAGGACGGGGAATTAGCCAAAGAGAAAGGAGATTACAGGTGTGCTAATGGTACAAGGTTGCAGGACATTGCAAGCACTGCACACTCACTGTGCCCCTGTGCTAGGACACAAGTTAAAATAGTCCCATGATGGAGCCACTTCAAGAAGGGAACTACATTCAAGGCAATACAGTCACCGTTTGGTAGGGACAGGCACTTGAACTGCACGTCCTCAGCCACTTAGTCCTGTGGCCTCCAGCAGTGATGTCAGGGGAGATATGTGGAATGGATTGCAGGTATGACTGGCCCTCGAAAGGGAGACCCTCCTCCCTTCTAGTTTGAAAAGGAGAGAAAAGTCTGGAGGCTGCATCAGCCGCAAGGATCTTGGTGCAGAGAACACATGGTGTGTGTGTGTGTGTGTGTGTGTGTGTGTGTGTGTGTGTGTGTTGAGGGGGTCTCTTGTTATTGGAGGAGGTAAAGTGAGTGAGAAGGATAGAAGTCATGAAGGCAAAAATAATTTAGAACATTACCTTGAGAATGAGGAGAGGTCATAGATCATGGGCTGTTTTCTGTGCCTGTGAGACTTATAATTATAAACCACAAATTATTAAACTATTCACATTCCTATGATTTTTCAATAGGAAGCTGAGGATACAGCTAGTGTAGGAAATTTGTTGGAATAGTATTAAAAGTTTGAGGACTGAGAACGTTTTCCAGACCAAGTGGCTGTATCAGTGGCTTCACAAACCTGGTCTGGAGAAACATCACCAGAAAGGCAGCACGGGAGGGGTGAGTTGTAGGCTGCACCAACCTGAGGAGGAGCTAAGCTGTACCTCAGTGGGCTTGCCTGAGCCAGTGGGGTTGGGAAGTGGTCTGAGGGGAGCTCTCTGCAGGGGTCCAGTCTCTGAGTGCCATGGTCAAGGTTGCAGTCTCAGGCATGAAGGGCTGAGGTGGATGGGAGAGCAAGAGCATAGGAGAAGGTTCCATAATTATTCTGTGCACTCTGGATTTTCTTTCAGGAAGGTCATGATTTTCATGAAGGCGTTAGAGCAGGTAAGTGACAGGTGTCTGTACTTCCTTCGTGACTTTCGGGAAGAGGATTTGTCAATTCTCAGTTAACTTCAGTGGCTGTTTTAGTGAAAATTAAACTTTTAGAATGGTCTCTCCTCTCTCTTCTCTCTCTCTCTCTCTCTCTCTCTCTCTCTCTCTCTCCCTCTCTCTCTCCTATCTGTCTCTCCTATCTCTCTCTCTCTCTCCCCTCTTCCCCTCTGTCCTCTCTCTCTCTTCTCTCTCTTCCTCCTCTCTCCCTCTCCTATCTCTCTCTCCTATCTCTCTCTCTCTCCCCCCTCTGTCCTCTCTCTTCCTCCTCTCTCTCTCCTCTCTCTCTCCCCCCTCTCTCTCCTCTCTGTCTGTCTGTCTGTCTGTCTGTCTCATATGGGAATATGTCTCCAAAGCTAGTGTTTCACAGTCACATCTTGGCACTGTTCTCTGATGGGTGTTTCTGTCCAGGCCCCCTCTGCTCACCGGGCCTGCCCTGTGAACTTGTATACGCACCCTGCTGCTTTTGAAAGGGAAGCCCTCAGCTGTTCTTCTTCCTTTGTACCATCCGTTCCCTTATGAATGAACAGGCAGTGTCTGTACCCACTGCCCACCTCCTGGTGTCTCAGCAGGTAGCATCACTGGAGAGCACATATGTTATGTTTTTGCTCATCTCCAGGCAGCACATTTAGGAAAAGCTTATGTTGTTTTCCTCTAGCAAACTTGTAGCCATTCCTTTTATGAGTAGTTCTTGTGTTCATAAAGATCTATTGTTCCATATATAAAATGAGTTATTTTCTTCTGTATAAATTTTGCATGCCTCATCCTGCCTGTCTTCCAATCATCATACCAACCAATTTTCATGTGTGTGTATGTGTGTGTGTGTGTTACTGCTCCACCACTCACTGCCTATATTCTCCAACCCCAGAAATATTTCTCTTGAGTACAAGGTGATGTTTTCTACACCCTGAGACTTGGTAAATTTCTGTTATTGTTGTGGAATTCTCATAATTTGTAGTATGACATATCATAAATAAACATAAGGTGTAGGTCATTTTAGGAAACACATGGGTTTGAGTCTGCATTGGTGGCTGTGTGGTTAAATCAAAGTGTGCATCTTTCCCATTAATTTCTGCAGGTCTCCATGTGTGCAGATCAGAATTGTGCCCCCCCTCTGGGGCATACTGCTTTAGAGTTGTTATTAATGTATTTGTTAAATATCATAATAGCCCCTTTACAAATACAAGACAGTTTTAGATGTTTTAAGTAAATATTTTCAGTCACTTTATGAAAATGGAGTTGAAGTTAGTCAACATCAGAAGGTTGAATCACAAAGGAAGTGCTTGGCATGTGTGGTGCACACAACTTTAATCCCAGCACAGAGGCAGAGGCAGGCAGATCTCTGTGAGTTCCAGGCCAGCCTGGTCTACAGGCCAGCCATAGCCACACATGTCTACAAAACAAAACAAAGCCCATCAACAATACCAGCAACAACAACAAAACCAAAGCAGTTGCTTATCAAGCTACTTTCGTATCTAAAATTGAAGAAGGGCCTTTTTACTGTGTAGTTCAGGCTAGTCGGAAACCTGTCATCTTGCTGCCTCAGCTTCCTGAGTGCTGGCATGACAGGCATGCACCACGAGGCCTAGCTGGGTAGTGAGACAGCATGGTTGCCCCTGTTTCAGCATAGACTCTTAGAAAGGAGCATCTGCTGGAGTAAGACTGTTTAGTATTCTTGCTTCAATTTACAACTATAGTGCTTTGTCAGCAAATTAGGGAGATGATTTTTAAATATCCTTAATCTTAACATCTAGGACAAAGTCCCTTTTGGTTACAGAAGATAAAAATGAACCCTGCCAGTAGAGCTAAGGGCTAGAAGCTCTCTCTCCCACAGGCCTAGCTTCCTGCATGGGCAGGACTTTCTGTCTTGCAGGAACACAGCCAGCTCTGATTAGTGCTTGTTCCTGTGCCCTTCTACCCAAGGAGGTAGATAATACCAGCCTGCCTCTTAAAGGAGAGAGTCTTGTGGAGGGAAGGATGCCCCAGGACTAGTCTTTTGCTGACACTGGCTAGGAAATGGAAGCTTTCGGTCAGGAGGGATCACAGCCATTTCTGACCTGCTTCCCACAGTAGACAGACGTATGCCTCTAGTACAAAACTGGCAGCATGAGCCGGGCGGTGGTGGCGCACGCCTTCAATCCCAGCACTCGGGAGGCAGAGGCAGGCGGATCTCTGTGAGTTCGAGGCCGGGCTGGACCGATAGCCTCCGAAACAATACAGAGAAACCCTGTCTTGTAAAAACCAAAAAAAAAAAAAAAAAAAACCAAAAACAAAAAACAAACAAACAAAAAAAAAAAAAACTGGCAGCATGCCTATAGTCTGCAGCTACCTGAAACTCCCGTCTCAGAACAAAACTAGAAGCAGATACATCTCCAGTGTCTACATTTAACTGTACATAGAACTTTATCTATTCAAGAAGGCATCCTTCTTCCTTGGTTCCCAGACTGCTGCTCCAACTGTGCTTAATTTGGGTTTTTCTATAGAGCTTATATATTTAGACTGGGAATGTAGACTAATGACAGAATGCTTGCCTAAGGTTTACTTCTTGTACTGTCACCACCAAACAGCAACAGCAGAGCAAACATGCATCTCCCCCTTCCATTTCCATTCTTTATTAAAGTTATATACGTTAGTCATGGCTGAGACTTGCTACCTTAGCCATGTTTTTTTAGTGGTTTGCAATTGCAGATTGACATGTACTTGTCACAAACAATATGGAGCTCCTGCATACCCTCCATCCAGGTGCCTGAATAGCATATTTGTAACTGTGTGCACTAACACCAGAAAATAAGTATTCTCTATTTTCTGAAGTGCTTACACTTAGAATCCTATGGGGATACAATGTGTCTATCCTGAGTGATGTCTGAAATGAAATAGGAGTAGAAGATGTTGTGATTGATTCTTTTTTTTTAATTCAAAGCCATCTATACTATAGGACATCTACATTTAGTTATGTGTACTTTCCTTTACCTCAAGTAATTAATTTTCCTCTCAAAGCATGGTTAGAAGCCTGGGCCCGCTTCCTCCGTTGCCTCCCCTCCCATCTGCACCAATACTGGATTTAGCAGATTACAATATGTTTAAGCTACCAGATTAGTTCCCTGGGTTTTATTAAACGTATAAACCTTGCAGAAAAAATTTTATAGAAAACCATGCCTAGTAAGACACAGTTATCAATTCAGTAGTTAAATCTGATAATGACAGAAAAAGATGTGCTAACATCTTTGCCTTCTTTTGACAGTTCTCGTTGACAAAGACCAGAATCCAAAGTGGAAACCAGCCAATTTAAATGAAGTAACTGATGAAGACTTGAATAGTTATTTTAAATCCCTGGGGAGCAGTGACTTGAAATTCTGAGGTGATCAGGTACCTAAAGTTTACTTTGGAACAAGGGTCAGCACATATAACACAGAGGCCAGGTCTGGTATCTTGTCTGTATTCATGCAGCCTGCAAGCAGGAAATAGTTTTCTCACTTGTAAATTATTGGAAATGAGATGACAAGACTAACATTTTATGACACGATGGTCACCTGAAGTTTAAACACCAGTGTTTATGTTTCATGATACAATAGTTAGCTCAAACACTAATGTTTATAGAACTTTACTACAGCATAGCCATACTTGTTATCTGTGGCTGTTGGAAGTGGCCATAATGGTGCTTTAAAAGAAAATGGCCCCCATAGGGAGTAGCACTATTAGAAGGTGTGGCCTTGTTGGAGGTGTGTCACTGTGGGGGTGGACTTTAAGGTCTCCTGTGCTCATGCTAAGTTCAGTGACACATCTGCTTATGCTGCCTGGGATCAAGATGTGGAACTCTCAGCTTTTCCAGCACCATGTCTGACATGCTTCCCGCCATGACGATAATGGACTAACCCTCTGAAATGTGAGCCAGCCCCAATAAATGTTCTCCTTTATAAGAGTTGTCATGGTTACAGTGTCTTGTCACAGCAATAGAAACCCTAATACACCATGACGTATACTGTATGACCTGCAAAGCCTTAAGTACCTACTGTGATCTTCAGAAATGGTTTGCTGGCCCCTGGTTCAGAAGATGGGAAATTCTCAAGACTCGAGAGAGTCTTAAGTTATTATCTCTCATTAAAATGGTGACTTTAGCTTCCAGTGGCAGTTCATATGTTGATCAAATTATGTACAGATTATCAAAAATAAAGATACTGAAATTTGGAGGGAGTATGTTAATTCCTTATAAACATTTCCTTAAAAACTGTGAGTGAATTTAAACAAACACCATAACAGAAGAGTTACTTTGTAAACAGGAAAAATCTTATTGGAAAAAGAAAAAGGTCGTATGAAGTTCCATCTCCAGAACACTAGCTCAGCCTTCCCTGGGTCATCAGAAAATACACCCCCAGCAGAAATGAAAGCCTTGTTCTTGTTATTTGCAGTATTTACTAACCTGGAAAAAAAGGAGGAATTAAGAAACTCCAGTCTCTAAGACACACCCTTGCTATTTATAAGTAACATCAAACCTTTATATGAAAAGTTAGAAGCAATTTAAAATAAAACATCTTTAGTAATTGGAAGCTGACAGAATTTTTCAAATTTTTTTGTGTATGCATACTTTGCCTGCAGAGCCATAAGAGGGCATTGGACCCCTGGATCTGGAGTTAAGGACAATTATGAGCTGCCATATGAGTACTGGGAACTGAGCCCTGGTTCTCGGAAAGCAAGCAGCCAGTGCTCTAAGCTACTGAGCCAGTTCTCCAGCCCCTGACAGGTTTAAGTCATAATAATTTTACATTACAGTCAACCAATCATTTATTTTGTATCTTGTTATAATTTCTCCTCCATTCCAGGCTCTTGAAAAATTAGGAGAATATGAGGTAAGAACAAAACCAACAGAACTGAAAAGAGCATTGGGCTTGAGTTGGGTTCACATTGGGCTTGAGTTGGGCTCACATTGGGCTTATATTGGGCTCATGTCTGCACATACCCACAGAGGAGCAGGTTCCAGCACAGGGGGTATCGCTTTACATTTTCTCAGTTCAATCTATCATGCAGGACTTTCCATCCTGACAGTTCGGAACACAGAACATGTCTGAACTAGTACCATGGTATTGACCATGTTTTACATTTATATCCTTAAAGCTCCTAAATTAGACCTTAGTAACCCAAGAGCTTGTCTGTGTAAGTGTACTTTCATTCAGTTGGTACGTGTTAGCAATACAGAATAGAAGTCTGTATGTGAAACATCAATGAACCACACCAAAAAGTATTTGCTTCAATTAAATAAGTACTGACAGCTCATTGCAATCAGACTTTTATTATAGTTACAAAAAAGCATTTTCACAAAAATATTTGGGAAAAATATCACTCCAGAGTTAACTCCTACAGTGAAGGGAATTTGCTAACAAAACGAGTTTGTGAGTAAAGTGGCAGCTAATTCTTCAGAGCTAGCTTTTGTGGCTACTAGGAAGAAACACATGGCTTGCTGGGTCATTTCACATAGACATTACATATACATTACTATTTCTTGACATACATGTCTAGCTTCTGATTTCTAAAATAATAAAATGTAAAATGTACTTCCCATCTCACCAAATGCCAATGGTAATTAAGTAGTATGTGCATATTATGCTATTTCTGTGCATTTATTTTTGATGCTTATGAGACAGTTTGGAACAAATTCCTTTGGGCTTAAGATAATCATGTTTTTTTTCCTTTCAAAATTGTGCTTTAAGTGATAATAACCATAGGTGGTTTGCAAACAACTGATAAGGCAACTAAGATGGGAGACTTGTAGGATCAAAGGCCTGTAATCAAAAGGTAACTGTACCAAAGAGACAATGGGGGCAGGGAAGAATACGGAGGCATTTTGAGAGTTTTAGTAAGTAAAGAATTGGCACATTTATTTCCTCCGCTGATCTGCTTCTGCAGTCACCACTGGGAGGCCATATGCTGATAGCAGTCCCTCTGTCCTTGCACTGATGCTCCACATGTCCTTGTCCAGTAGCTAATGAATCATCCATCTTTCTGAGTCCCTCATCCCCCTCAGTCATCTCCTCCTCAATGAAAGACCTCAAATGAGGATCAGATGTTTTCATATAAAGACATGAAGAAGGCTGATTCTTTATTAGAGATGTCTCATTAAGTCCAAACTATATCCTGATAGCTATCCAGTGTGGTATAAAATTTGTTCAACTCTTTTTTGATTCTTGTTCACGGGCTGACATACAAAGCCTGACCCAGGCTGGGGGCACAGTGCTGGCTCCATGTTAACCCTTCCACCATAGTTCCTGAAAGGGGATGGCAGCAGGGAGCAGACCTCTAGCTAGATGTGGACCTGGCAGACACCCCTGCTCCACCCTCGGGGAATCAACATGGGACAAAGAAGAAGCCTGAAGTTGAAATACATATAACCCAAACCCTCTTGCCATTACAAATCCCTGTGTAGATTATGTCATGCTCTGAAAAAAATACATATTGTTTTTTATACTTAATTATATAGTTGAAATAACAAGAACTCTTGCAATAGGTGTCCTCATATGAGAAACAAATGAGTGAAAAACTCGTGACCTAGGCTTTTGCCTGAATCTTCAGGAAACTGCTGCTTCATGAAGTAGAGGTTGTACTTAATGGAAAGTGCTCTGCATTGGGACTTATGTGCAGATCGCTGTAGGAACAGAGTAGTTGCTTATAGCTCTGTAAACTGTTAGACTACAAGTGCAGTGGAGAACTGTGATTCCCAGGGCTTAGTGAAACTTAGTAGAATGATAGATCAGGTGTCTGAAACCAAACGGCCTGTCACTCACTTTAACGACCCCTTTGCTGCCAAAACCTGAAGGATTCACACTATTTGGCTTGGATTTCAACATATTACTGTTAAAGCTAGAGGCAGCGTTTCTCACTACTGACAATCAAGTACCTGGCTATTTCATTAACAATACCAAAAGCCTTTCTCTAATGGTTTTGGATTTCAAGTATGCTGATAAATGGTATCACTGAAGGGCTGGTGTAGATGGGCCTATTTTCCTGTCTAATTAAACTCAGTGTCTAGCACAGCTTTGTGATAATTCTAGACACTCAGCTCTATTTTTCTACTGAGTTTGTCCTAAGTCTTCTCTTAATGTTGAGTTTTATACAGTTAAGTTCTTTAAAAAAATAAAAAGTATATACTTATGATAGTTTTAAAATGCCTAATTTACAACCTCTCCATAATATATGCCTAAAAGTGCCTTGTGACTGCTGAATCCCACACAGGTGCTCCGTTCAGGAAGAGATTATATGGCTAAGAGTGCCCTATGAGCACAAGTGACTGCTAAATCCCACATTGGTGGTCCCTTTGGGAGGAGTGTTTCTGTTCTGCCCTGTAGTGCAGCAGAATTACAGCTCCCTGAATGTCTGCTCCTTCACCCCTACACCAGTACTGCAGGGAGATTTCACCCATGGTTAGCCATGACACTAGGCTCAAATTTTCACCTTGCAGACTAGGCTTCTGTCATTTTTAAGACTTACTGGATAAAAGGTATGGAAGAGCTTCATATTTCAATGCCATAAACTAATGCCATCACTTCTATAAATTATCATTTAAAGATGGCTGTAATGTGCAAAGTTTAAATTATCCAGTGACAGCTGTGGCATGACCCTGAGGCTTAGTGTGATAGTTACCCTTTTCAATTACAAATTCATCTTCCTCGGAAGGAAGAGCAGCCTTCAATGAGGCCCTCTTCTCTGGTGGTTTTCTAATTGTAGGTTAGAGGCTACAGGAAGTGAGTGGGCAGTCCCTGATACAAATGGCTAGAGATCCATTCCTTGTCAAAGCATTTTAAGGAAACCCTTTTTCATGTTCTGGGCTTATTTTTGGTGTAGATGAACAGAAATAGTTATTTTAAAGTCAGTCCTTTAAAATAACCATTTGGAACCTGGGCACTTTTTATTCAACATTTTCTTTGGTGATGCCATTACTGCTTGAGGAAGAGCATGCTATGGCAGACAAGTGGTTGCTGGGTGCCACAAGACCTCTGCCAATCTTTTCTGTGACCCAAATTTGAGATCAAGCAGATTTACATTGATGTTAACGTAGAACTGCTTAAAATTATATTTCACCATAAGCGTCCTACACTAATATTATCATAGACACGGTTTTACATCCAGTTGGAGTTTTAAAACTTATTTCATGTATTTAAGCTAGCACCGACTACATCCAGAGCACAGCAAAGTATCATCACCCAATAGCGGTCTCAGAGCCCTCACTCTCGATGTATGGAATGTTGTAGTACTTGATGTTTTCGCATGCCCACTGCTGCATGGCGTCCTGCACGATTTGCTTGGCCAGACGCTCTGCAAATTCAACGACCGCAGCACTGGGCTCTGGGAGTTTCTTCACTTCCTCTAGGCCTCCAGGTCTGCCTGGAGAAGGGGTCCTGTGTTGACAGCTATCATCTAGCATAAAGGCTTCTTCACTCTCATGTAGCGTGTCTAATGTGGTAGGAAATGGGAATGTTTGCTTTGATTTCATGCAGCCCATGATGTAGAGCTTTGGCAGAGTGGAGGCAAACTGTGTTAATTAAGACGCCTTCAACACATCCTCGGAAAACAGTGCAGGGTTGTTCACACAATGTTGACCGGCTTCCTCTCAGGCCACTGTGGCAGCCACTGGTCCCCTCTCAGTACTCCTCACGTCTTGTGTTTACCTGTCAAGAGAAGGGAGTTTTCATTGTGAGGTTCTGTATGATGTGGTGATGTGGAAGCCCTTGGTTCCTTGAAAGAAAAGTGGGGTTCCCAAAAAAACAACTATATCAGCCAAAGCTGGAGAAATCACTCGGTGGGAATGATAGGACACTCATCAAACATTGCTTTGAGCTCTTGAAAATTTTATAAAAGTAAATGGAGTCAAATTTTTACTATCAAGTGATCATTCTTGGACTGAATTCCAACCATGTTTTTTTTTAATTCCTTCACAACTTCATACATATATAACATACTTTGCTCATATTCTCCTTATTATCCTCTTACTCCTTACTCATACGAGCAAACCACAAAATTCCCATCCCCCCCAAGTCACCCTCTTTTTGTGTTTTCTATTGCTGTTTCTCTTCCCTCTCTCTGTTGCCTCTTTCCATGGGTGGGTGGGTATCCCACAGCATTTAATTTGGCAGTTTTAGTCAATCCTTTAAAAAACAATTTGAAATTTGGGCACTTTTATTCAGCATTTTATTTTGTGGTGCCATTTTTGGGCAGCAAGTGTACCCCTGTATAAATGAGCATTTCCACCATGAGCATTGCTGTCTAGGAACCCAGTGCTTCAGACTCATGAAAATGGCAAGGTCTTTCTTCGGTTGGAGTATGGATGCTAGCAGTATGCACAGAAAATATCCCACATGATCCCAGCTTTTCTGTACATCTGTCTACCATTTCTTCATCCCCCATTTCTACAGGCCCAAAGCTATGCAGGTTTTGGCCATCACTATTGCTTCCAAAAGGTCAAAAAACAAAAAGAAAAATGTGTCTCTATAACGGGCTCATTTGTTTATGTATTACGTGGGGTTGGTTTTTGCTAATAATGGGAGACTGCGTAGTTAGGACAAAATGATTGCTTTTTGGTCCTTGGCAGAAAGTGTTTGCTGATTTCTGATTCTTACTATTAGGAAAAAATAAGCAAAGTGTGCTCCTGCCACCAACCTATGAGCCCACACATCTGAGACTGCTGTTCAAATCAGACTTTGTTCCCTGGCCAGATATGTACAACTTAGGGGTGAGAAGAGAATAATGCCCTTCGTATCCATGTGTGCTCTGGACAGCACAGACATCCAGGAGCCACCTGGTTTGTTTGTTTGTTTGTTTTCTTTTGAATGAAATACTCCCTATTAAGTTATTTTTAAGTAAAGGTTTCTTATACCAAACTATCCCCATCCTACTCTTATTGTGTTTAAACATGAAGTAGGCCATGCTCTGTGGCACGCCTTTGCATTTTAAATGGGTGTCGTTGTTGAACGTATTGTCTTAAGATGGGACTTTAGGGTTTATGTAAGTGACTACATTAGGAATACGCAGCCACATGGCAGCACAGATGAAGTCAACAATCCCTGTCCACAGGACCTGATTCGATCTTACAAGGAACCCTAAGTGTCATAAGTGAAGGTTATTGTTTCAGAGACAACTCATCCCTGAAAGCAAAAGCTACTGTGTGTCTACTCACTTTTAATAGTTTGTAATCAAAAAAGTCTAGAAAAATTAACCTGTGGTGAACTTAACTGCTATACATTTTCCTTTAAATATTTGGGATTCCTGTTAATGCTGCTCCCAATCTCTACCACTAAGTAAGTATGATAGAAATGTTTTCTACTAAGAATCACCTCACTGAGCCCAGGACACAGATCTTAAAAAGAAACAAACAAACATAGACTTAATCAAAGAATTCAAGGAGCTTAAAGAAGACAAAAACAGCTTAATGGACTGCAAAAGAATATAAAGAGAAAAATTGTAAGAGTAATGCTCAAGGAAAAAAAACCCACAAAAATAAGGCTGAATTAAACGACAAAGGCAATCTAGGATTTGAAGAGGACATTCAATAAAGAGACAGAAGCACTGAAGAGACTCAAACTAAACTGAAGACAAAATTGGAAAATGAAGTATCCAAATTAGAAAACTCAAGAGGAAGGCTATACAAGAACCTATACTTAAAACCTGAGTAGAAGATAGAATATCAGTTCTTGAAGACAAGGAAAGAACATGCAGGAACTGTGGGATACCATGATATGATAGCATCTTCTAATTAAAGGTATAGATGAGAAAGAAGAATTCTAAGTTAATGGCATAGACCAAATCTTAAGCAAGAATATAGAAACAGACTTCCTCAAACTAAGGGAAGATACTCTGAGAGATCATACTTAAAACACTAAATTATACATGAGGAGTGCTGAAAGCTACAAGAGAAAAAGCACATAGACAAACCACCCAGAATAACAGCTAATTTCTCATTGGAAACTTTTTAAGCTAGAGGAGCCTGAAGCAATGCAATCTAAGTTCTAAAAGACCACGATGGAAAGCTATTTGGCATAGTGGTAGGAGAAAAAAGTTTTCATGATATAAACAGGCAAAATACTTTCATGTCTACCAAAATGATCCTATAAAATACTGGAAGCAGTACTTCAGATTGAAGAGAGGAATACACATGGCCAAGAGCCTCTAAGAAGAGAACAAATGAAGCTGTAATTAATTAAATACAAAGCACAACTAAGAAACAGCAATAAAGCCAGCAAAATTGCTGCAGTATATTCACCTTTGAATAATAATTAATGTACTCAATTCTCCAGTCAAAAGATATAGGCAACGTGAGTGGTTTAAGAAACAATTCTTTTTATCTACAGGAAACTTGGTTTTAGGCACCACTTTAAATTGAAAAGATGGAAAAACGTATTCCAAGAAAATAGGACCAAAAGGAAGCAGGAGTTGCCATATAACTGTCTGACAAAATTAAACTTCAAACTAAAGCTAAATAGAAGAGACGAAGAAGGGCACTTCATTCCTAATCAAGGCAACAATTAACCAATATTATAATACTTAACATGCATGTACCAAACTCTGGTGCACCCACTTTCATAAAAAGCATACTACTGAAATTAAGGATAGATTAATACCAACCCAGTAGTGGTAGATAACTTCAGTAATTCACTTTCTCCAATAGATATTTGGACAAAAAACAGGAAATCTTGGACATTTTACATCAAATGGACCTAATAGATATCTACAGAATATTCCACCCAAACACCAAAGAATATATGTTCTATTGAACAGCCCATGGAAGCTTCTCTAAAATAGACCACATCCTAGGATGCAAAACAAATCTTAAATTCAGAAAAAAATTGAGTTCCACGTGGCCTATTTGACTGTTATGCAATAAAACAAATTTCTATTATGTGCAAAATTCATGAAGATTAAATAACTCATTAGTGGACTGGTCAAAAAAGAAATCAAGATAAAATTTTTAAAAGTTTATGGAACTAAATGAAAATGGAAACACAACAATACATTTGGGATACATAAAAACAACAGTTCTTGAACCTTCATAGCTCTGTGTGCCTACATTCTAAACAATACAAAACCAGAAGGAGCCCAAATAAATGACAATAATACAACTCAAGAATTTAGATAAAAGAGAAATCCAAATCCGGTAGACAGCAGGAAATAAAAATCACAGCAAAAAATAACGAAATAACAATATAAAGAACTGATGAATCTATGAGCTGGTTCTTTGAAAAGATAAACACAGTTGACGTACTCTTGGCCCAGCTAACCAAAAGAAAGAAGGAACAATGAGACATTTACAACAGACACTAAAAAAATTCAGAATACCATAAAACCTACACTTCCATCAAGTTGGAAAATCTAAAAGAAACATGAATTCTAGAAGCATCAAAACACCAAAGTTAAATCAAGAAGAGATCAACAACCTAAACACCAAATGAATAGACTGAAACAGTAATAATAAGCCTCTGATTAAAAAAAAAAAGGCACACTTAGGCCAAAAGAATTAAAAGCAGATATCTGTCCAAGTTTGACTTTCAAGGATATACAACCAATATTTAAATTTTAAAAAAGAAAAAAAAAGGCAGAAGGCGCACTCACAGACTCCTCTGGACCCAGTGTTACCCTTATACAAGTAAGGAAGCACACACAAAATAAAATAAAAACTTCATACATATTTCTCAGATGGACAGAGATTTTTGAAAATCTTCAATAAAATAATTGTGAATAGAACACAGGCACATATCAAAAAGATCATCCACCAAGTTGACTTTATCTTAGAGATGTGGGCATGATTCAATGTATGTAAGTCAGTAAATCATATAAATGGGCTTAAAATCATATAATCTCAGTAGATACAGGAAAAAAAATCTTAGAAAAAAATCCTAGAGAATAGGACTGTAGGAAACATACCACAACACTAAAAAAGGATACATATGACAAATCCATAGCAAACATTATCCTAAATAGAGAAATACTCAAAGCAACCCCATTAAAATCAAATGACATGGTTGTCCATTCCTCCTCAATCTAGAACTTAAAGTACTAGCTGGAACAATACAACAAGGATACAAATAGGAAAAGGAGTCAAATTATCCTAATCTGCAGATGATTTATTATCCATAAGAGACCCCATACATTCCACTAGAAAACTTCTAGAAACAATCAACAGTTTCAGCAAAGTGATAGGATACAAAATCAACTTACAAAAACCTGTAGCACCTTTATCTACTCCTGAAAAAGAGATCATAGGAACACTCCAATTTACAATAGCCTCTAAGACAACCTAACCAAGGAAGTAAAGGACCTCTACCATGAAAACGTCAAACCTCTGAAGACATTAGAAAATGAAAAGACCTCATATTCATGGGTTGTTAGAATTAATGTGAAAATGATCATGTATAGATTCAATGTGATCACAGTCAAAATACATGTAACAGTCTTCACAGAAATAAAAAAAATCCAAAAATTCATACAGAACCAGAGAATACCCCAGATAGACAAAGCAAGCATGACCAAAACAGTGCTAGAGGGATTTATCATTCCAGATTTCAAGATATATTATAGAGCTAAATAATAAAAACAGCATGGTGGTGATGGCGGCGGCCCACGACTTTTATCCCAGCACTTGGGAGGCAGAGGCAGGCAGATTTCTGTGAGTTTGAGA